GGCTCTATGGGGTGGCCCTATAGGGTGGGTTCTGTAGGGTGGCTCTGTAGGGTGGGTTTTGTAGGGTGGCTCTATGGGGTGGGTTTTGTAGGGTGGCTCTATGGGGTGGGTTCTGTAGGGTGGCTCTATGGGGTGGGTTCTGTAGGGTGGCTCTATGGGGTGGGTTTCGTAGGGTGGTTCTGTAGGGTGGGTTCTGTAGGGCGGCTCTATGGGGTGGCGGATTGTTCCCTATTGTCTTGCTTGGATCTGTGGGGTCTTGTAGGATCTATGGGGTCTTGTGGGATCTATGGGGTCTTATGGGGCCCTGTAGGGCCTATGGGGTCTTGTAGGGTCTGTGGGACCTATGGGGTCTTATGGGGTGTTGTAGGATCTGTGGGGCCTTGTAGGGCCTATGGGGTCTTATGGGGTCTATGGGGTCTTGCAGGATCTATGGGGTGTTGTAGGATCTGTGGGGTCTTGTAGGATCTGTGGGGTCTTGTAGGGTCTATGGGGTCTTATGGGATCTATGGGGTCTTGTGGGGCCCTGTAGGGCCTATGAGGTCTTGTAGGGTCTGTGGGGTCTTGTGGGATCTATGGGGTCTTATGGGCTCTATGGCATCTTGTAGGGTCTATGGGGTCTTGTAGGATCTGTGGTGTCTTGTAGGGTCTGTGGGGTCCTGTATGATCTATGGGGTCTTGTAGGGTCTGTGGGGTCTTATGGTGTCTTGTAGGATCTATGGGGTCTTGTGGGGTCTTATGGTGTCTTATAGGATCTGTGGGGTCTTGTGGGGTCTTATGGTGTCTTGTAGGATGTATGGGGTTTTACGGGGTCTTGTAGGATCTATGGGGTCTCGTAGGGTCTGTGGGGTCTTGTAGGGTGGGATATTTGGGGCAAAGCGGGTGGCGATCTGTGGGGCCGTTCTTATGGGATCTGTGGGGTGATTGGTGTTAGTGTTGTTTGTTGGATCTGTGGGTCAGTGGGGTCGGATCTGTGGGGTCAGATCTGTGGGGTCGGATCTGTGGGGCTCATTGAGATCTGTGGGGTCGGATCTGTGGGGTCAGATCTGTGGG